TGCATTGCTTCTATTTTTTTTTTTTTTTTTTACTGTATTTTTCAATCTACTATATTTTGTTTTTCTGTTGTTTTTTTTTTACATTTTTTTTGTATTCGGGGTGGCCATCAATTGTTAGGAGGGGGAGTTGTAGATTTGTTGTGAAAATTAGAGATTGAATCCATTACTATAATATGGCAAGAGACAGGGCTGTACTAAACAACAAAGACGTAAGGGGGGGGGGGGGGGAGGAGGAAGAGGGTTGCAAATGAAAAAAGCTTTTTTACCATAAAAATCTCACCAAAGTAGGGCTTTTTTTTTATTATTTAAAAGCCAAATTTCAGTTTTAACCGACCGAGTCTCAAATTTTCCAAATTACCAACGAAACCAACAGAATGTTGTAAACCTGGGAAGGTGCCTAAACCTCTGTCGGTAAGGGGAGATTATTTTTGATGTTCGATTATTATTGCACACTATCTATAGGATGCAGCACATAAAAAATATAAGTTAAATGTTCAATAAGCGTACTAAATTTGATTTAATTGACTAAAGGGCATTACTTGTACATCCCATGCTGATTGGGTGTTTATAAACAGTTGCAACAACCTCATAGGTAGTTGTCTCCGAGCTGGGAAAAAATAAAAATAATTTTTATTTTTTCCCAGTTTTGCTTAAAACATTTTTTTTGAATAACAGTTTAGTTCAACTGGGTTCTATGATTCACAATTAGTAAAGTGTTTAATTACAACAAAATAATATTTATCACCTTAATAAAGCTTCTTCGCGTGTAAAATTTTCATGCGAAATATTATTTCTTTTTTCAAGCACTTAATTTTGCTTTAGTCAACTAAATTTAGTTACACTAAATATTTAGTCGACTAATTTAAGTTAAATAAAAAGTTAGTCGACTAATTTTAGTTAGATTAAAAAGTTAGTCAGGTAATTTTAGTTAACTAAAAGATTAGTCGGATAATTTTAGTAAGCTAAAAAGTTTGTTGGGTAATTTTAGTTAGCTAAAAAGTTAGTCGGGTAATTTTAGTTAACTAGAAAGTTAGTCAGGTAATTTTAGTAAACTAAAAAGTTAGTCGACTAATTTTAGTTAACTAAAAAGTCAGTCAACTAATTTTAGTTAGACTAAAAACTTAGTTAAGTATTTTTAGTTAGACTAAAACTAACCTTAACTCCCACCCCTATTAATAACTTTTTTAATGTTGAGAATTTTAGGATTTTTTTTTTCTGGAATATAGTTGTTTATTAGAGTAATTCTGAACAAAAAAATATAATTTCAATTTTCTATTGAAAATATTATTTTATATATTTTAGAAAAGTGTTCCCATTTTGGAAAATTGTCTGCAAAAGCAAACAGTTTCAAGTTATATGAAAAAAACATAGATAAATTGAAAAATATAATATTTTTGTTTTTATGTTAAAATATACACATAATGATAACATTAATAGAAAAAACTTGAAAAATCATGAGCAAGTTTGAGCTTGAAATAAAATAAAAAAGTTTATAAACTAGGTGCTGCAACTTTTCATGCAAAAAAAAAATTCATTGTCTTATTCTATTTCATATTTCTTTTTGGTTCACAGAGCCACAAACTGCCACTTGATTTTTCCATAAAATTTGCATCTCTAGCATTTTCAAATATTTTTGGGCACTTTTTGTACTTTTTTTTGGCAGGAGTTTCTACTTCTACTGCTGCAATTTCAATATATGTTCGTTTTAATAGCTTTGCGACTTCTTTATCTCTTAACTGGTTTAACAACGCTTTTTTTGTAAAAGCTTGACTAACCACTTTTCAGATATTTCTGGTTTTTTTTTTGCAGGATGTTTGTAAGCATTTTGGAATTGAAATTTCTTCAAAAGAGCTCTTTCAAGACATTTTAAACGAGTCATCAATTCTTCTTGAGAAGTTAAATTTAAAGTTGAAATTGAAGTTGGGGTTAAAATTGGAGTTGTAGGTAGAATTAGGGTTTGTGTTTGTTGAGCAGTTTGAGGCAAAGAACTTGGGCTGTGTGGTGATTTTGTAACTGCTGATAATGTTATTAAGGTCTTATTAAAAGTTTGACAAATAAGTAATTTTGGTTTGTCAATGTTGTCTTGATTTAATGGAAAGAGCCCAGTGTTTTCAAAACCAGCAATAATTTGAGTACGAGTGTAAGCTTTGTTGCTTCTATGCAACTGTGCTGGGAGACTTAGTAAATTTTGTTTAGACAAATTGCTAAAACCACTTTCAGCATTAAATTTTCTTAAAAAATCACACCAAACATTTTTGACATGGCAAAATAAACCAATACCAAGGAGCTGCAGAATCAGATGAATGAGCAGGAATGCAATTTAGTGTTATATTGTTATTTTTTTACACTTTAAGGCTACACCTAATAACACTTGTGTACTGTGGCCATCCAAAAGTAATATATGTTGACTATCAATTTTTTGAATATTAGGAATAAATATTTCATTGAGCGACTGCAAAAATAAAGATGTGATGTTTGTAGCTGTTTATTCGCTTAGTTCTGAGTGCCATCAACTCATAAATCCTTTGTACTATTTCCAACTGGGCATTCCATTTTTGTACAAACCCGCTTCATCTTTTTCAATCAAATAGTCTCTCACTAAACTAAACCTGATCTAATCGTCTACCAAAGTCTCAATATCCAAGCATCTGAAGAAGGTGAACTGAGGTTAACTCAATAAAAAGACTTAATTTTGTTGTATTGCCACTACCAACTACTGAAGTCTTGTTTGATTTTTGGTCAGATAATGTTGATTTTGGTATGCGGTAGAATTGAGCTGTGGCTCTTAAGCTCAACTCGCCATATTCAATCTAATCGATTGCGCTTTTTATTGCTTCCACAATATAAGGCTTCTTGTTTGTTTTATTTTTTGACATTTTAATGTCAGTAAATTCAATTCAGTTACAGATTTATATAGATTATACAGCATTTTGAAATTGAAGAAAGAATATACTTTTGTGGTTACTTTGTGTACTTTTGCACTTTAACTTCAATAGTACAAAGTGCAAAAGTACACAAATAATTAACACAAAAGTGTGAAAACTTAAAAAAACAAATGAAAAAAAATTAATCAGCGTGAAAAGATAATAAAATAAATTAAATTTAACATAATAAAAAAGATTAATAAGAGTGAAAAAATAATAACCAGATTAAATTTTAATTGATTATAGAGGGATTTATAGTGTCTGGTTTAAGGAGAAAACTGAAGAAAATCTTGTTTCTGATATAATTTTTTAACGGAGTAAAATTTTAAAAATCCAAAACTATTTTTAGAATTAGCAGAAAATCCCAAAAAAATAGCTTCCTTTGTTTTTAAACTGCCCAGGGTTGCCATCTGGTATTTTTTAAAGCCAGATTTCTCAAATCTGGTTTGTTTTTTTATCGTTTAGCTTGGAACTTTTGTTTTGGTTTATTTTGAAAAATCTGGCTTAAATCTGGTTTATTTTAAAGTCTTAAGTCTTTTCTAGTTTTTTCTGGTATGTTTTTTAAAATCTGGTTTATTTAATAATAAATCAATTTAATCAAGTTTTTATTTCATGAAAAACGTTAATTTGAGGGAAAGAAAGATTTCCATTTTTTCAATTTATAGAAGAACAATCAAGTTTAAAATAAATGAAAGAAATGCTTACATTAAAATCTTAAAAATGTTAAAAACTTTTAGTTGTAATGTCAATAATAGAAAATTCTTACATTCAAAATGACATTTATTGAGAAAAATCTGAATGAATAAGTCTAAAAACTTTTAAAGAAAAATGAGTTTCTAAAAACATCGCTGAATTCTAAACTGCTTCGTGAGACCATTTAGAAGTTTTCGGAGACCTAGACCTCTGCAACATAGATGTCTACTGCCTTGGCAGTCTATGTGTTGTTTCTAAATATTTTGTTGAGTCTTCTCTCAGGCCAACTGCATAAAAATAAGACTAAGAAAATATCAAACCAAGTCTTGCATGCAGTCATTTGGATTAAATCATATTTAATAAGGCGAAAGATTATTTACCACGACTTTAAAATAATTGAGTCAATTATCGCAAAGGTTGGGAAAAAAAACCTATATCCATATGCAAGCGAAAAAATATATATATATTTTAGAGGTTGATAGTGTCGGATTTAGTATAGGTGTTTGGGAGTGAACTACTGTCCCCACGCCGCTTTGAAGGCTGAACTAGCACCCCATTAAACATTCACTAACTCATTTTTCTTCTTATCCCTCACTCTCTTACAAATTAAATTTTAATATTCAAGGATGAATTTTTGGATAAAAAAGCATTTTTTCAAAATATAAATTGTAAACAAGGCTTTAAAACAAAAAAAAAGGATTTTTTTTTTTTAGTCTGGTTTATATCTGGTTTATTTTTGTTTCGTTTTTGGCTTATGCCCAAAAAAAAACCCTGGCAACCCTGAAACTGCCTTTTTAAACCTTTTATGCTAAAAACCTAATTTCCAAAAAAAAAGTTTAATTTTTAGGGTTAGATTTTTAGATTGAACATAAATACCTTATTAAAGCAATCATTTTTATAACTTTTGATACTTTATAATTTTCCACACACTGAAAGCTAAAAAAATTTTAAAATTTGAAAATATCTTTATTTTCAATGAAACGTAATAATGATATTTAGTTTCCCTGAAAAGAGTCTGCTTTTGCTCGCTGTCTGGTTTGTGGTCTACTCAAATTTCAAACATGATTTTTCCACAAAAGATTTTTATCAATTTATGTTAAGAAAGTAATAAACTATTACTTTGGTTGAAATTATGTTGCCAATAAATGTTTTATATATATACATATATAAAGTAAATAAAAGCAATAGGATAACTGTCAACCTGTTCTTATAAAGTATACATATATAAGGTAAATAAAAGCAATAGGACAACTTTCAACCTGTTCTTCTAAGGTTTCAACCTGTTCTTTTAAGGTATACATATATAAGATAAATAGAAGCAATACAACAACTGTCAACCTGTTCTATTGTTTGTTCTATAACTTAATAACACAATGTACTAACTTTAAACTGTCAGTGGTCAAAAACTCATTTGCCATTAAATATACTTCAACAGAGCATGCAATATCAGTGTCAAAAACAAATTCAATCCAATATTGTGATGATATTCTAAAATTAATAGAAAAAACATTATAGTTTAAAGCATAAATACTTGTTATACAATAATATAACAATATATAGCAAAAAACTCAATGATTTCAAGGTTAGATTTTGCAACATTTACAATCTTGAACAAAAACACAGATTGAATCTCAAAGAACTGTCAAGCAATAGTTGACAGCATATCTAAATTACCAGGTCACAAATATTGCTATTGAACAAACATATTTATTAAAGAGTGTTTTTATTATTAAAAGAAATTTTTTGAAAAAAACTAACTTTAATAGTTTTAATGTGTCTTTTCTTAAATGCACCAGACTTCGTACAGTGTTGCTAGGTTCATTTGATTTTCCAATAGAGTATGGAAACTAGATAAAATATTATTATTTTTAAAGTTAACATTGGATTTAAAAACAAGCATGATTTCTAATAAGAGATAAATACTTACTGGCATTGGTTTGTTTGGAAGATAATTGAGATCGCTGTTTTCTCCAAACAAAAATCGTTCAGGATTCATATTTTCAAACTTTTCGCCTGCCATCATGAAATGTGTTCCAAAGTAAGAACCTTTCAACCAACAAAAAAAAAAGAAACATAAATTTCAAAATAAATTAATAAATGCAAAAATAAATTTTGTATTTATTCATTTTTAAAAAAATTTTAAAGATGAATAAATACAAAAATCCTAATTATAATTTTAAAATTCTAATTATGTAATTATGTAATAAGCTAATTATGTAACAATATCCTAGTTATCTAATAATCTAATTATGTAATAGTAATATAATAATCTAAATATGTAATAAGCTAATAATCTAAATATGTAATAAGCTAAATGTTTTTCAGACAAAGCCTTCTTTTCTCAATGATTTCACTTTTCAGTGCCTCTTTGTACCAAAACCTCATTTTAACAGGTTAGTAACCTTACATCACTAAAAGCAAAAAAAATTGAATGACAAATTTTAACAATTGACAATAAATTTTTTATCTTGTTTAATATTATTAAATTAGTTTATCTTATGCCCCTCTTATTTTCATAGGGTAGTGTAGACCCACTTATTGTTGAAGGGGTAACGCAAATTATTGAGTTTTTTGTTAACAGACCTAATAATATAATATGCATACTTAGTTAAGCCAAAATAGATATTTGTAGGTATGTATCATAATATATAGTTTGCAGGTAGAATTTGTAGGTATGTAAACTATATATCAATACCCTAACGAATATTATTTTTATAGATTTAAAAAACAATAAAGATATAAGAGGTTATGAAAGCATTATAAAAAGAAAACTATAACAATATATAAAAATAATTATTTTTATATATTGTCAAAGTAGTTATTTATTATAACTACAAAAATACTTGTATGCAATTTTTTAGATTTTAATGAATAATAAATAATTTTCATTACATTTTTAATTCAACTTCAAAACTTGGTCTACAAAATTTAAAAATAAATACATTATCATTATCAGTTTAAATTGAAAAAAAAAATTAAAAACCTTTTTAACACCCTATAACGCTATTATGGCTGTTCTTCAAATAGTGACTTCTGTATAATGAAATCTGTTTGTTTTATAGGCTATTCAAACTTACAGCAAAAAAATGTCAGAATATTTTATTGAAATTAATTGCACACACCAAAACTTTCAGATGAAGTCACTCAAAGTTCAATGAACATATTTAATTGCACAATGAACTTCATCAACCTCATAAAAAATATGAGAGTGCCAAATGTCAATTTGAAATTTTTTTAAACTTTGAAACTCTAAGTAGCAAACTTTTTAAATTCTCTTAAAAAATTTGAAATTAAAAATTTTTAGCAAAAATATTACCTGATTTTGGAGGAAACCGATACACAGCATTTGCATTAATAATTTCCACTCCATTGTCAGTTCTTCTGTTAAAATAGGGTAAATAATTTCCCATGTATAATAATTTTTAATCTAAATGTTACTTGGAAAAAAAAAAAAAAAGATTAAAAAAGAAAATAGTCTTGTTTATAAAAATCTTATTTTGATGTTTATAATTTATTATAGGAAAAACTTGAAAAACAATTGATATTTATATTTTTTTAAACTCTTATTCTACTAATGAAAATTTCAAAATTTAACTTTATTTATTTTTAATTATTCTCAATTTTTTTTTTTCTTATGCAATTTTTTCTCATTGGCTTATTTACTAACCAATTATTTTGTTAGAAAGACATTGAATGATTATTAAAAAAAGACAACAATATAAAAAAATTTGCTTTAAATATTTTTCCACATTGTTTGGTACATTTAAATTTAAGAATAAATTATTAAACATTAAAACATTAAATATGCTACACATATATTAAAACATATAATACATTTAATTTAAGTATAATAAATTAAATTTTTTTTTCAAATAAAAAAAAAGTAAATCTTTAAAAAGTATTATTAAACATAAAAAAAATAAATAAGATACAAATAAAAAAAGTCAATTTGAAAACTATGTACAGTAATTTAGACTAATATTTTACAATAAAGCTGAATATAACACAATATGTACTTTTATAGTATAAAATAGTAGATATTTAATATAATATATATATATATATATATATATATATATATATATATATATATATATATATATATATATATATATATATATATATATATATATATATATATATATATATATATATATATATATATATATATATATATATATATATTATATATATATATATATGTATATACAGCCCTTGGAATTGAGGTCAGCATATTTAACTAGCCTACTTAACTGCTGACCTAAAAGTGTCTGAGTTTGTGGATTTTTGCTGAGCGCGTTTCTATTTTGTTATGGTGAAACCTGTGTTGAAAATTTTGTGTCAATCTGATACCAAGTTATATTAGCTCAAGGTCTTATTTCTTTTAAATCCAAGGGCTATATAAATATATATGTATATATATATATATATATATATATATATATATATATATATATATATATAAATATATATTATTTATGTCATAATTATGAAATTATAACTATTTTAATGAAAATACAATTAAACAACTATACTAATATAACATTAATATAGTTATATGTGCACAATAAAAATAATAAAATAAAACACCATGAGATCATGGAGACAACTTCACAGAATGAAATAGCAAAGTGTTATAGATTATTTAAACTGCAAAAGAATATGCGATTATAAATTTGTATAATTTTTATTTCAACTTCTCAAATTGAACTTGTTTATTTTCATGAAAATGAATAAAATGATTTTTATAAAAGAAAAAAAAGAGAAATTAAGAATTTATTTTAATTTAAAAAAGAAGTTCCCCACTAAAATTGAACAAAAATAAAAACTTTAAACTTTTGGTTCTTCTTTAATGCAAGTCAACATTTTATTTTTAGAGTTCAAAACAATATTTTCAGATTGAGCGTGGCTATTAACATCAAGAGTGCTAACACCACATGCTCCAACCATTAAATGATCTTGACGAGGAACAAGGTCAATTGGTTGCATGTTTATTGATTTATAATATTCATAAGGACTGCATTCAGGTACATATTCAACTGAAGAAAAATTATCTATTTTATCAAGTCGATAAAGCATTAATTGGTCATACCAGTCTTCACTTGTTGCCTAAAGGAGAAAGTAATTAAGTAAACAAGAATATTAAAAAAAAAATTTGTAAAACGTAATTGTTAATTTTATGAAGAAAAAAGGGTAAATATAAAAAAAAAATTTAAATACCATGTCATCGAAATCAGCACCCCATAACACTTCACATGGTAAATAAGAAGTCCTAGTTTGCATGACATAACCAGTGGCCTCGACTGTTCCTTCTAAAACAACAACAATCTCCCAATTTGACTGTTGATATTCATTTTTTGAAATATAGTAAAAAGGGCTCATTTTATCAATTACATGAACCGCAGTGCATGGAAAGAGTAAAAATAAACGATCACTTTCATCTCTTATATTATTCCAGTCAGTACCAACTCTAAGTTGATCTTGATGATTGTGAACTGTTTTACCTTCAATTGTTTTATAAGATCTGAATAAATACATTCTAACATGACATTCAATTAATTGACGTTTACGTACATCAGCTATGTTAAACATAAAACACATTTTATTGTCACGCTTTGTAATAACTGCATGATGTGAAAAACGAACTGTTGACTCACGTTTTCCAGGTCTAGCAATTTTGGTGTATATTAAACCACAAAAACATGCTCCTAAAAAATAGCTCAATAAAGACTGAATAATAAGCAGAAGAATGGTTTCTTCACAAGCACTGGATATCTGCCTTCCACCATACCCAATTGTCATAGATGTTTCAAGAGAAAGCAAAAAAGCTTCTTTGAAAGTTGTTATGTGATCAAAACATTTAGTACCATGAAAAATTAGTATCAACCACCAAATTAAACCAAATACAAGCCAAGAAGCTGAAAATATAATTATCTAAAAAATTTTCTTCATAGTTTTGTATTAGTTCCTTTTTTTTGTAAAAATATTACACTGCTAATTAAACTTTTTCTAAAAATAAATAAACATAACAAATATAACTAACTAAAATAAAATAAATGTAATACCATAAAACAAACAAATTTAAGAAACTATTAAACTGTTTTATATTGATAGTCAAAAACTAATTTTTAATTATAAAACAAATAATTTTATAAAAATTGTATTCGTTGAAAAGTTAAATTGCAACTACTAGTTTTTATTATTTTAAGTGCATTCGGATATTTAAGTGAACACTAAGGGTTTGGGTTAAAGTAGGCAATCAAAAAATGAGCCATATATTTAAATCAAGAGATAGAAAAACCGTTAAGAAATACAAATTTAAAAATGGAATTAGTTCTGACCTCAAAAATAAATAAAAAGAATATTTTGATCTAACCTGTGTC